TATGGTTTTGTTCCTTATATTTATTCAGTTATTAAGTGTTTGTCAGAATCAAGCTTAAAATAATCTTAATTTTGTCAGGTCAATGTTGAATTGAACTTTAATACTTACGTAAGGACATAATATAATTGTGCCCTGTGTGTTATCATTTACTTTTATCAGAGTAGAGTAGAGGCAGCCTGTCACAAAAAATGGGGCCTTTTAAACAGAATACATCTATTAACTTATTTATAACATCGTAATTAAAACTTGATAAGTACGAAATATTAATAGGCACCGAGGAAGGAAGTAAAGTGAAGATCCTCCAATTACAATAACCGTTGAACACATATATAAAATCGTATGATTCATTAGTAAAACTGGTTCCTTAGACTTAATTGAATTGAAAAAATATAGAAACACAACACACGTAATATCTACTACACACACCACAAACAAGTTTCAATCCAGGAAATTTAATTTAAAACGAAAATGATATCGAAGTTAATGTTCTTAGAAAATGACTCGTGTCGTCGTGTACTCGTTTACGATATTAATTTAGCAATAACTGCACAACAGTTGAGCAACTGTAGTAAGCAACCACCTACGTAAGTGCGGGGCTTAGATAACTCAGTACGGAGTATAAGCTAATGGCTTCACTGCTTTCAATATTTGCATTTGGTACTAACTAGGACTAGTGAGATTGTTTACTGAATGAGCTAAACACCATTTTTTTTATAAAAAATAAAAGAAAAAAATGTGTTCCATAGGAATTAAAATAAAATAAATATTTTTTTATAAGAATTCTTTTTAATATTTGCGGTAGATAATTTATTTTTGTCTATTGATTTAGCCTTAATGACTTTTTCAGTTAAGAATCTCGCATATAGAGTGATCTGAAAGGAACTCTTAAAATTGAGATGTTGTAGTAACTTAAGAAACAATTAACTGGAAATTTTACTGTTTCAAAGTGTGTAGGTATGTTAATAGCCTCTCGAATAATCCTACGCTAACAGAACGCACAGTTTCGCATAGTTACAATTGTAAATCATTGCTTGTTAGTTGTAGACTTGTAGAGTACCTCACATTTATACAATTAATAATTCAAACACCGCCATATATACATGTAGCGTGATATTTATCTTAACAATTTGCACGAAGCCGCTACCTGTAGTGAATCACCGATCGCGTCTCCTCGATAACTTGTAATGTAATTTGAAAGATGTATAACGTGATTCACTAAGACATTTTACTTCTGTCAGCTCCTTTATTTGACAACACCATACATAAATAACTGACGTGTTTTAGTAAGTTATTGTTATCTTGTTTCGGGGGATTTCCAACCGTCCATCTATGTTAATAGCAGTCTTTCTTAATTCAATGGAGAGCTAATTTCTGTTTGCTTTTCAATAAAATTCTATTAACTATCGGGGAAAGAGGGGGAAAAAATCGGGGCAAGAGCAACATGGTAACGCGACCCCAGTCTGGAGTAGGAGCAGGAATTGGAGATATTTATTCAGTAAATGTCTGACACTCTCACCCCACTTCGGCGACAGAAGTTCCCTCACAAAAAACCTATAGAAAAGGCGGAAAATTGATATGACATAATTTAAAACATTACTTCCTAAACCTTCGCGCTTAAGTAACGCTTTATTTATTTATAGTTTTATAGGAAACATTTCTATTTACAGTTGAAAGCTGAAAAAACATCACAAATTTTTTCTCAGTCCAGAATTCTATCGCGGTAACTAACTTCTGCGTTGTATAAGGCAATGTGACATTACTATAGAATGTTAGAAACGGTCTAACATTTACTCCATACCTCCATTACATGTACTTTTTATATTATGTTTTAGTTTCTGCCAGCGTCTTCGCCCGCAATAACAGAGTAATAGTCAATTCCAGACTTGTAATCTATCTAGCTCTATGCCAAATTTCATCCGTTTAGTAGTTTGTGCGTGAAAGTGCACCTAACAAACATCCATTCATTCATAACAACAAACTTCCCCGTTTATATTATTAGTAACATTATACCTATACATAGTTATTTACTCTCTGACGCATGTAAACATTATTAGTTTATGTAGTAGTAGTAGTAAGTATGCAAGTAACTAGGTACTACCTACTAGTCTATAACCCATTCGAAACTTTTTCCTGTTTGTCCATAATTAAATTAATGAAACAACCCTAGGTACCTATTTGGTGTTGGATACAAAAAAGGTATTCAATTTTCAATTAACTATTTTTTTCCAAATAAGGAAAATCATTGCGTCAGCACATCACAACAAGAATGAAATAAAAGTAAACATTTAGCAATCTTTTAATTTGTTTTTTTTATAGAAATAACATGTAATAAGTACTATTATTTTGTGAATGTCGTATAATAAATACCTAGACAAAACATATAAGCTACGTTTTTATCTAACTTCCTTACAAGTACGTTTTGTCCTAGTTGCCTCTACATACTAACTTTTAAACTTTCGCCTTTCATCTTAAGAACATTATATTTACGCGGGTATTAACGCGGAAAATTATAATTTGAATACCTTGGTAGGCTTGACGTTTCGACCCGGTTGCACAGGTCGTGGTCACAAGCAGACTGACTACCAAGGTATTCAAATTATAATTTTCCGCGTTAATACCCGCGTAAATATAATGCCTCTACATACGTCTACAGACCTTCATTTAAATTATCCCCAAGCAGTTTGCTAATCTCTTTAGCTCATCAATGCTCGTTACTGTCAATTGATCACAAATAAGTTCATTGCCATTTGACCGACAAAAAAATTGACTGACCATATTGTACAGTTGCTGAAATTATGTACCCATTTAAGATTTAGAGTAACGGTAATCAAATATTTCGTAAGTACTAATCACTAACAGTTATATTCAGCAAAAAAGGAACTTAGAGTATCAAATAATTATAATAATGGTTATATTTTTTACCTTTCGCATTTGTTTGTTGTTGATTGTACCTACTTCATGCATAGTGGCTGAACTTGATTTTGTATTTTTACACCATGTACCTACTGTATCAAGGCCCATATTTGCGAAATAAATTTTCTTATGTTGTGATTAAAACATGCTTTGATTCTCTAAGTATTCTAAGTTTAGGTTTTTATATTGCATAACTTGCTAAAGTTAGCTAAGTTTTCTCATTAATTAAGTTCACCATATGTATAGCGTTGTATTAGTGTAAGTTGCTACCGATGAGCCAGTGGATGGCGAGCTAAAATGATCATAATACCAATATAGAACGTCTGACGAAATCAAACCGTTCCTCGTTATAGGATGAATACAGGAAAAGTGAACCAAGGCACGAAGCATTGCGGTTTGTGTCTAAGTCACTTATTAAGTTCCTTAAATGAATCACAAAAACTTACAAGTAAATGAAGTTTCTTGAAAAATAACTGACTTGTTGGTGATTTTTGCACTAATTGGCACAAATGCACACATAGGGTCGCTGTTGTCCTGAGCCTGAATAATAAGTCGCAGTGTTATGAGTAGATACATATTTTGTAAGACTGATGGCTACTCTATCGAATTGAATTATATCTATTAAGATAGCTGTGTAGTGATAGAAAATAATGTATAAAACTTTGATCAACAATGAAGTCTTAAATTCAATTAATTTAATTTTTATTCTGATCAGACTGCCTATGTTCTAATATCCGAAATGAAAGCTGAACAAACAGTATATTACTGTATTATCCCTAGTTAATATAATTAAAGTAATTGCAAATAGTATGCAAGCAGTAAACATCCTACTTTCCAAATAATAACATTCGATCCGTATCGCAACGTAAGTCGCAGTACGCGACGGCGACGATCGAACTCTTACCTTGCTTGGGAATGAATGCCAGCCATTTTATGTGTCCACTGCTCACTGCCCACTTGATACATGAGACCGATAAGAGGTCCTGACCTGTACGCAGGATGCTTCATCTAATAAGGGACATGTTTGTATCACAAATGAACCAACAAAGTAACCACACAACACTCCTGTTATGTACTTACATCATCTTACCAATCGGTGGCTTGCTCACAGCCGTTCCACCGGTTTTTATTATTATAGCATTTCTGGTTTTATTCAACCACCAGTTTCTGTACTGGATTCGGTGCACCATTCAGAGCATTGAAGTACTTTGAAAATTTATTCTCGCTATTTATTCATAGTTCTATGAATGAGCGTAACGTTTTCTCATTACGATAATAATCTTTGTGTAATATTACTTAGGTATTATTATTATATTTCAATGTGTAAATAGCTTGGCCAACATAACTGTGCGTTCATGGGTTACACATACTTAAGTAAGGAACACTAGGTATTGGCCATTGTTATTGTTTTATCGGAACCTTGTATAAACCTAGGCGACGTAGACACTACCTACCTTCATGTCGTTCTATCAGACGCTTATTATTGTACTTTTTGTAATGTTTCCAATGCAGTATTATTGTCTAATAGCATAGCCAATAACTGTATACAACCGATCACAGCTTGGGAAATTACATGGTAAATGTTCCTTTTACCTCAAAGACACAAAGAACGCGGGTATACAAAAAACTTCACACGACATTCACAAACGTTATTGTCTATCGTTATAAAACAATATTTCTTTGTAGATTAAATTCACTCGTGGATAATCTATTGTTTTTAAAATAGTATAGGGATAAAGGAAATGTATTCCGAGTCTCTGAACTGTTAAATAACATCCTTTATTTGATTAAATGTATCAACTCGACTGAAGTTCAAAAGTTTTGTAACGGATGTTTGCTATCGCCCTGAAGTGGTCCTGAAAAATAGCTGCGTGCCCACAATAACGTTTTCCTTTAAACAGTTTAAACACTCATATCCTGAACAACAAATCCCTATAGCTATAGATTCGTCATAAAGGCATATATCTACCCAATAGTAGTCCATTATTTGTGGCTAACGAGATTGAGTCACTGCGCGCGTCACATAACCTCTGAGTCACGCAGGCACGCGTTCTTCTCTCATATATTAAAGTATTTTTTCTCCATAGGTGTTACCTGCTGGCTGAATCATCAAGGACTGAAGATCAGGGTCAAGCGGACCTGGGACCCCACAGAGATGACTACCAATTATGAAAGTCAACACTTCAGCTCAGAACCCCCTGAATCATTCGACTCAGCAGTAACGAGTCGAGCTGCTGTCATCGGGGCCCCTCTCCAGTCCAATATTCCATTCCAACACTGCCTGTGATCAACACTACGATGAAGAAATTACATTCGTCCGGTGTTCGTGTCGCAAACTGTAACTAGAATACATTTTATACCGTAGTTGTAAGTGTTAAGGTCGGTACACACATCAGCGCGCCCGCCGCGTCCTGACAGGAACGGGATTAAAATATCGTCGCATACGTTTTGCATACGATCTGCGCCTCGCCCATTAGTGGCTATCGAGCTGGATATTTTCTCTTCACTGTCAGACGCTGCAATGCTTATAACTGACGTCACATTTAGAAAACAACTAAAAGCAAAATGTTCCCGCGTATTATTTTGTCACAGCTATTTTCTGCATGTGTCGTTCCCATGTCGACCGTGAAAGGGCACGTATTAGGCACAGCACGGTGATATGTGCACCGACTTAATTATGTAATTAATACCTCTGTGATATTTAAGATGATTTAATTGAAGATGTCCGGATGAGTCACCGAGGAGCGCTGTTTGATTTGTAATCTAACGGTAAACACAGACCGTATTGAACAATCTGTTGACGCATAATATAACAACGTACTTACGTACGAGTTAAATCCTATACTATTGTGTACTACACGCAAGGTTAATTCAAATTAGTAAACAACTTATTGGGTGACTCACTGAGTAATAAAAAAGTTAGCGCTATAAAGATAGTTGTGTATTCATAACTGCGAAGTTGTCGTTTAGCGTAGATATTATGTTGTGAAATTGTTGTTTTACAATAAGTATTCCATTGTAGAGTGGTCGTGACTGAGTGATGTGTTCGTGTATTACTTACTGGACCGCGAATTACAAGAATAAGTAGACTGACAGACTTATATAGAAATTTGTACTTCTCATCTCGCAAACATTAGTGGCCTAATGAATGATTTGTTAAGGAGAAAGTTACACGAAAGTAGGATGTTGAAGTGATTTTTTATGTAGGTGTGCTACAATGCTTTGTGGGCAGATTCATTCTGTGATCCGATGGACCAGTTTTTTGATGACTAACGGGTTTTAACCCGAATCGAATGCCCGATGTCTATTGGTTGTGGCACCTCATAGTACTATGGTTTTCATAAGAAGCATGACTACACGTCTATTTAAATATATTAATGAACAATTCCGCAACTAAATTGCTTCAAAGTACGTAATGTTTATAAATAAGTTCCTACAAAAGATTGATTTATATAAAAAGCTAATAATTAGATACTCGTTAAATTATAAATCGTTAATTTATTATTTGGCACAATTCAAACCAAAGTTTTAGTAAAACAGTATTTTTTTATTATATTAATTGGAATTTTAATCAAATGCCAATGCTTCGCTTGAAAAAAAAAAGAATGTATCTAATAATCGTATAAATATTTTAACCCCGCTTAATACAGGAAAAACGACGTACTACCTATTTGAGAAAGTAGATAAGTAGGTATATTCACGAGGAAAAAACAATACAGTTAGTTTCACATGTCTGCGCTCTAATCAAGTTTAAATGAAATTCGGAAGTCTGCAAATATTTATCTCGTGACTAAACCTACCTACATCATCTCATAAAGCCCACAACGAGTCTTTACAAACTTGTAGAACATTATAAATTATATTCTGTGTAATGTTGCATATATCGCTATCAAAGTGCATTGTACTTCCGTTAGTTATATCTATGTAAATAGTTAACTATATTCCGATGTAAACACTAGGCAAACTGTTACACTAAGCGCCTGCGCAAACGGGACGAATTTTGTCCGACTGACTTGACCCAACTGCATTAAGAAGTTAGGTAGTCTTAGCTCTCTTTGTCAATTATTTGATAGATTTTAAGAGATATGTGTAGACCTAATAACGAGAGGTATCCTGTGACATGCAGTAGGTTGAGTCAAGTACTCAGTGAACCTTTTCACGATTAATTAATACGAGTAAAGTTCCTCGTCTGCGCAGGCCCATAGATACCTTTGTAAATATACGATATAATAAATGATGTTCAGTTTGGGCCAAGTTATATCGCTATCCTTCAAACACAAATGTCTTCTATGGTACGTGTGAGAAAGACAGAAACATGACTTGGCCCAAAATATAAGCAAACGTCTATTTAATTCAATTAGTTGTAATATTCCATACTTATGCTCGTATAGCTTGTAGAATTAAATTATTAACATCACACGTAGTACTTTTTGACATTATTAATTGATTTGTAGTAATTAAGTATGTCTCATTATGAATAAGTGTTGTTGAATGATCTGCGCGTAATCTCACTCGATGTCTATGTAAACCATTGTATTAATTGTATTCGCGCATTTTGTATTTTTGTACATTTGTATCATTGTTAAGCTAGTCAGTAAACAAAACAAAACTATTCTGTTGTTTTACTTTTTCAACAAAAAAATCCTTACTTGATAAGTATGAACGAAAATGGTTCATAACGAACATACCTACTCTTTGTTCCAAAATTAAATGTTTCAAAGACGAGGTCCTCGCCAAAAATTAACAACATTTTCCGAACTGTATCTACATGGTGTCCGGTAAAGAATGGATAACCTTGAAATGCCTTTTAGTTTATCCTTTGGCCATTCAGAAAAAACAACGAAAAGGAAAGAATCATAGGTAGTACCTAAATTATTATGTCTTGAAGTAAAAGAACTGGGGCTAGGGGTAATACAAAATGATCCTTTAACATTTACGTTCATTACATTACTGCATAACCACGATGATTAAACATTGCTTTAAAAATAAATTTTGCACGATTTGTCTATAATAAATTTATTTGCAAGTTTTTTATAAAATATTTATTTTTTTGTATATTTTTTGAATGGCCATAAGATATACATAAAGGTATTGCAAGGTTATCCATTCTTTACCGGACACCCGTATTCTACATAAAATTAGCCCTGCAAGGATGTATTTTACAATTGATGAACAGGGTTGCTATAGTTTTTTGTGAAGCAGGTTCAGTTGTAAATCTTGAATCCGAACATAGGCACGTGTTAATGGAGAGTTTGAAGAGTTAAACAAAAGAATCAAACGGTATCTGGAAAAAGCAAAGAACTTGCTATAGTGGGCACATGCGTCGACCTAATTAAACCTCTAAAAAATACTATAACTTTCGTTCCTGATTAAAATACCTTACCCACTACAGACTAGTTCATAATTATGAGGTGTTTTGATGAGAAACTGAAAACTATTACAATTTATGCTAGTCTGATTTCCTGAAGGAATCTGGATGCTTTCAACAGTTTGAAGGCTAGAGTGAATAGGTTGCTTATAGTGGTAGCCGTAGACGTAGGTTGGTAGACGTGCTCCATCGAAGGCTGTCGTCATTACAAATAAATAAATAAAAAACTGAGAGTATGAGTGTTTTTGTTTTACACTTGTGCTCGTGATATCACTCCAGAGATATCCTACTTACTATGAAGACGGGACCTGCAAATACCTATGTATATACATGACCCAATATTGACCACCAATTCAGACGTTATTTTTGAACTCTCGACGTCACTGCTGAAATGTTTTCAATCAAATCAATTAAAAATATTTGTTTCTCCATTATTGTCCATACTATATAATAGATAATTTAAAGCAGTTTTCTTTCTTCTTTTAAGTTCCAAAAGAATAATAGTTTAACTGTTATTTTACTCATAAGCAAATATATACCTACTAGAATTGAACCCATCACAATTACTTGCTCAAAAGTGATAATGAATTGCCTAAGTTTGGCTTTCTAGAGTTGTAATTAGCACGTGTGTGACACACTATCCGTCTTGCTTTTTTTTTGTTGTCACCTCATAGCACCAGTACTTAACTTTGCCATGAAGAGCTATTTGACACTTCAGTAAGTAATTCCATTTTTTATTTGTTTGATTGGGGGATTCTTTTCATGTACTAATAGGAAATTGAATAAAAATAAAACAAACATTTCCAAAATTAAATAACTTCTTTTATTTCAGAGTCAAATTTGTTTCCTACATAAACGTGTTAGAATGATGACGCTGTAACATTAATTGACCATTACACTAATGGTACGCGCCGTTAGCTGTTAACGTTGGTGCACGAGTGGAGGGCCGTGGATTTATTCCTTAATGTCGAGCTACTGCGCGCCCCGCGACACGCATGCACAACATGTGCACTGCGCGATCCTCCAGCTGCGGAGTCCGCAACTTATTCCTTTAATTAGCCACAAATATGACTGGCCGCGTATTTATATCCCGCCAGAACGGCACCAATACGTCTTCCCAGTTATATCCGAACAATTTGATCGCGCCCTCATAACGTGGTGCACGCAGTAACACAACTACACAGATAACTACTGTCCTTTTCAATACAGACTTTTTATATAATAATAATAATATAGATTTTTTATTATTTTAATAACTATGCAAATATGATCACAAATACCCATGAACCAAACGACGCGATCCCGAAACATTTCTGCAACATCCGAAGATAACAATAACTACACTCCACTACTGGGCCAGACGCCCGCGTAGGGGAGGTACGCTAGGAGGTACTTTAGTTCTCCCGTGACGTGACGAGACGAATTCGTCTGTAGTCGCGCGTACCGCCGCTATGCGGACCCGTCCTCAACGTCGTCAACGCGTCTCAACTACTATCCAATGCCACAAACACCTAATTTTAATCAATAATCAACAATTATCGCCCACCTCTAACACTACACGCTTTATTTATACGATCAAGTGGAAAAATAATTTTTGATCCTCCATCGAAATCAAACTAACATCTTCCATGATATTTTCACATGGCAAAACAAAAATTCAAGGCAAAATACAGCGCAGTCCGAGAGCACGGCCCACCGGGACTTATGAACTACGCGTCAGAGGCAATTTATTACTCCTTCCTACGTTAGGGATACCGAGGTACCTGGACACTACAAACTAGACGTTATAAACAACGTGGGCCGTGCTCTCGGCCGCGCTCACATACGTAAATTGGAAAGACAATAACTACTCTCCATATGCTTATAAGAACACTTCATAAAACAGCTTTATATTATACTACATAATTTACATTTATATTAGGTTTACATTTTTACACAGCAATAATAATGTTTGTAGTTTTCATTATAATATACTCTATATACTCCCAATTGCTAAATATTGTCGCATATTAAGCATGTTTTTATTTATAACGACATCGCATGGTCATTGATGTCTGCATCGTAATATTAACAAAATACTCGAATCCTTCGACTCTCTACCATTATCCTCTCCTAGTTACGAACGAAACTATGAAACAGTGATCGGACTATTATTCTTTAAGAACATGTATTAGTCACTAATTTAATTCCAAGTCGGTAAGTAGCCGAATACACAACTAAATCTAAGCTTCAAATAACTAAACTACGGGAATTTATAACAATTTTTCACAAGCGGACAGTTCACAGATGTTGCAACTTCACAAAATCAACTCAAATAATCTATAAATGCTGACAATATTGTCTTTTGTTTGGAATGACACTTAACACTTTCTATAAAGTTTCAAACATCGATTTCTAAAGCATATAAATATGTTAGAATTTAGACGACTGATCACAATATCAATCAGACTTCTCTATACAAAACGATAGTGTTAGTAAAAATAAATTTTAGAAAAAAAAATATTATGGCAAAATATTGGCGAAGTATAGCGAATGAGCTCTCCACGAATATTTAAGTTAAAAAGATCCAATACCGTTGTAAAACAAACCCAGGCACTCAACAAACAGCCGCGGGGAAATTATACTAAAACAACTCACAGTGAAAACTTAATCATGCGGCCATAGGACCGACTCTCGAGTGGTCGCGACACTATAAATACTGCGCTGCGTTAGCTCGCACAGATATTGCGTGTTACTTGTTAGCACAACTAAGTTACCGCAGGCGTTATGACATCACAACTAAATGATATTTACACAAATAATGCACATAATATAAAATATTATAAGACATAACCATCTTAAGTATTTATTACGTTTATTTTTATTTATTACACTATGGCATTGCAACTTTGTGACTCGGTTGCGGCTACACGTCGACCCATGTTACATAACATTTTGTTAGAGGAACAAAAAATGCTAATAGTTAATGCCTTGTCAATATAGTGGTATAAGTAAGAATATATTCGACAGGTGTGTCAGTTCACGATAAATATAAAATATTATAATCACAGCGTGATGATAAAGATTATTCTAACTGTAATGCCCTTTGCATCCAGTAACAAAATAATTTAAATAGATTTATCGTTCAGAAATAGATAAGAACACAATTAGAACGAAAATATAACAAATATGAATAGAATGAATGAGAACTGATTACTGTGTACCATCGAAATATGTTCTTGTGTCGGCACAGGTAGCGCGCGAACTAAGAAATGAAGATTGAAACATACACAATATAGAAATCTATTGCTAAGTGTTTAGTTATCAAAGACGTGTTTCTAAACGTGACAGTAAAATGTTTTACAAAATAGCAATTGATGTGAATACTTTGATATTGATAAGTATAGTCGGCGACCGTTTGACGTACTATTTGCTATCGGTCTTAAACTATAATGGTACCTACGTAACAAACGGGAAACCTTACACGTGGAACAGAAGTCTGCTGTTCAACAATTTTATATTTCAAAAATCTTTTTAAAACAATGACCATAGAACTGCAGTTTCCTTTTTAGTTATTGAGTTATCACGTGTGAGGTTTAACGTTTACTACGTACATATCACACTAGTGGTTGGTTGGGTGTGTTTGTAACAAATACGTAGTCAAGTGTCCGCCGGTACATTGGTTCGTGGTCTCATCTCCAGTGCGCAGGTAGCGCCGCGACTTGCTCGCTCACGCTACGGCTATTATAGATCCCTGTACACACAGAAGTTATATCGTTAATACAATAGAAGTAAATTAAGGAAAAATATTAAACAAAAAACATAACTTCTATATTATAAAATTGTTTTGCTAATTTATTACATATTTTAGTTGCACACAGCAAAACTTAATAGTGTGGGGCAACGATTCTTCATTGAAAAAAAAACAAATTATGTTTATCCCTGCAATATTGGTTTTACAACTACTTTCCTACTGAAGCATGAATTTAATTTGGCTCTTATGGCAATATTGTATTATTATAAAATCAAATGTTATCGAAATTTAGCAAACGTAAACTTATCATTATAGGTAACGATTCTCACGAATATGATACAACATGCTAAAAATAGATTAAACCAAAACCTTTGAATTAATAAAATTAATAATTTCTAAACTAAAAACTATGTAATTAATAGCATTACACATGCAAATACGCTGTTTGTCGTAAAGCAACGGCCCATCACCTGTGCTGGCTTACTACAGATGTATGAGTGCAGTAAAGGGTATATAAAAAGTGATATTACCGACCTACCTCATCCACTGCTGCGAGGGAGGGTTGTGGGAGGGCGTCGACGGCTGGTGCGACTGAGTTGCCACCCTCTGCACCACCTGTAACACATAAACAAATTATTTATTACTGTGATAAAAAAAAGTTATTAGACACCTTTGTTGTAAATGACAAATCACCCAATGACTTTTTTCAATCTGTGTGAGGTGAAATTGAGAATCAGATTCATGACTGAACCATCACGTTATAATCGTTAGCTAGTTCACGGTGTCGTTGCGTACGCATGCTTATGCGTTTTGCCTACAATCCTGCTGGTAAACTACTGAGTCCTGAAATTTTCTTAAAGGGCAGGGAAACAAACACATAGACAGACCATGTGATAGTAAAAGCCAGCATTTGCCATACACATAGATTTCTATAAATGTTATGCAACACACTACATGTGAACAAAAACGGGCTTATAAGGATTTATCATAATGTACCATCATCGGCCCACACACATCTCCAGCCTATTAATGTCTACTGTTGATACAAAACAATTGCTCAAGTGTGATATACATACACAATGATGTTTAAATAGCCTAAAAAGTACATATAATTCTAGAAAACTCACATTGGTACTTGCTAATTGAAACCGGCAATGAGAAGCGAACATCAATCAGCACAGTATTTCAATATAATTACTTTCTTGTTTTCTTAAGTGTAATTTTTCAGTGTCTTAGGTAATGTAATAGTGGTGTTTTACGTTGAGTACCTGTTGTACGAAGGCCCGCGTGAGGTGTGGTGCGGCGCGCTCGGCGTGCTCGAAGGCGCGGCGCAGCTCCTCGATGGCGGCCGCGCTGCCGGACCCGTGCTTGCGGGACAGCTGAAGGGGAGACGGACATTACTCTTACGATTCAATACATCATTTAATTTTGATTGTAATATTGGTACTGACTACCAAACAAACAACACGTAAAACATTGGTGTTTCGTTAATTTTCAATATACATATATATGTATATTGCGATTATGGGATACATGATATTCACTTTGATTTTAAAATAAGTAATGCAATTAACACCTCGGCCCAGACAGGGACAAATAAGATGTGTAAAATTGTGTTACTACAGGATTTTCAATATGATAGCATTTCGGCCAGCCCAATGAAAGAATCAAGCATCAAACTTGTACTCAGACAACGATGTAGTGAATAAACAATATGTTCCATTAAAACTCAACATACCTCATTGAGTAGTGGATATATAAGTTGTTGCAAATACGGATGTCTCTTCACTTTGTTCTCTTCGCTGTTTGTTCCTCTATCGTCCAAAGGCGTGGCCTGAAATCATTAAAATACACACATTAACAATCTTACACCATACAAAAAAAACACACAAAATTAATGACTTGAATTTATACATAATTGGACTTTCTAATGCAATAAAATGTTAAAAATACATCACACTTTTATTCATGGACACTATATAGCCTACTATTCGCCCCAAAATACATAATGTCACAACACAATTTTGACAATGCTCAAATATAGTCAAATGAGACTTGTTATGGAGTACAAATCAAGTAAGCAATTGGGTTTCAGAACACCCATTCCCTAAAATATCCCGTAGAAAATACTTTGCTTCACGATATTCTTACATAGTAATGTTTATTTCTAATATAAATGTTTGTTACTATGTGTGCTGCTGTGGATGTGTAAATGCTGTGATGTTGACCTAAACATTCTACTGCTATTTGCTAGCCCCAAATGCCCAATAGTCAAAGTAATTGAGACTTGTTGTAAATGATTTGAGATGGAGCCGGTACTAACGTTTTTATTATAGACTACGCTATCCCTGTTGGAGGGCTGGTGTTGTTCAGTTCTCTCCTTGCGCTCGTTGCGGTCGCCTCGGTCGCGTTCGCGTTCCTTCGTGCTCCTTTGTTCCGCGTTCACTTGCACGTTCGACGTTTGCCGGGTCTGGAAATGTTAATACTTAATTTAAAGATTGGTTTTGTTTTTCAGTGCAAGTAATTTTCGTCATCGTGAAAGCTTTTATTGAAATTTTTAAGTTGTTTGGTCACAATTTACCTATATTGTGTTTTCACTATTTTTGTTAGGTTTATTAAACGTACTTTAGGATTCTCCCTTGTCGTGAGTGCGTTTAGAAATATGCAATTTCCCCATACCCGGAACAACAATTTGTTGAACACAAAAAGAGTTTCTGGAACCTGTATATATAATTATATATGTTTGTACATAGTATAGTGTGTATTTTGTATGTTTGTATAATCATATTCGACACATGAGGAAATCTAAAGTGGGGCTACGTTCTTTCTGATATACAAGGCTGTTGTTGAATCACGGCGGTTTTCTATGAGGCCGTGGTTGTGAAGCGTAGCCGCGCTGTTGGTAAACTTTAATAAATGAATAAATCAAAGCATGTACCGGCAGTTTGTCCGCGGAGTTGTTGTTGGCGTGTGTCGCGGCGGCGGGCGGCGCGCCGGCGCCGGCGGCCTCCGCCGACACCGCGCCTCCGTTCTGCTTCGCGCCACCCACTACTGACGTCTCTCGGGGTGCCACTGTAACATCATGACTTCAATTTAGTATAAAATAACAAAAAATAAATAAAACAAGCTTTTATCAGGTAGGTCAACAAGTCCAGCCTTATTGCTCGAGCGAACTTAAACAATTAACCTGAGCCAACAACTGAAGGCCTAAGAGTGAAGGGATTTATGACTCCTGATTGATTGATGATTCCTGACGTATACACGACATTTCTGATTCAGCTCAGTGGATTCAAGATTTTCTTACAGATTTCCACATAACATAACAATTTTTAACAATCAAAACAACATAAAAACCATTAACGAGAATCTTGTAATAATAAAAAAATGAACCACATTTTTGCCGTCGTTGATTTAAATCATTGAATGATTCTTACCTATAACGGCTTGATCCTGTCCTTAAACCGAAGGCGATGAACGTGTTTATTGTTTATTTGTTTTAATTGCAAAAACAATACTTTTGTCCAAACTACTGCGTATTAATATAAAGTTTAATGCATGCATACCATTATCGTCGTGGTGGTTATTGCGTCGCTTGTTGTCTCGTTCTGCGGGCGGCTGTAGAGCTCCACCCCGGACTGTCATGATCCAGGGCTCGTCCGCCTCACTGTCACCACTTCGACACTCCTCTCTGGAACATCAAATAATAATGTTAGAATGTCTCTCTACACAAGAATTTACGAGGACTTCACAGTGATTTATTTCTGTGAAGAATTCTATTTGCCTCTTCTCACTCGGATAAAGTTTGAGCATTAATTAAAAAAGCACTACGATTGCTCAAGGCAGATTGGCGATTTGAAAGTTAGAAATGTATAAGTCCAGGTTTCCTCACGATGTTTTCCTTTACCGTATACGCCTGTGGTGTCTTAATAAACTTAGAACACTTGCCAGATTTCGAACCCTCCTCATTCATAAGAAACGGGCACTTAACCTTCGAGCTACCACGACGTTATATAAAGAAATCTTGAAATAAATGCCTTGAATTTATACATATATTGCATTAATTATATCAAACGAGCGAGCCAGAAGATATATAATAATATGAAGAACAAATGAAGTCAAATTCTATTTTGTGGAGACAAAACAAAGTCAACAATAATTGGATATAAGAATTATGACTAATCGAATGAATAATAAGAAGGGCATACATTTGTTCGCGTAATTCGTGTTAGAGATACTGAAAGGTTTCAAAACTCTTTTGGATCGCTGACTTGACGTGATTATGTTACTTATGAAACAAACATCTCTAAAAATATTCTACGTATTTTTACTCATAAAGCTTAAATGTAATTATTCAGAGAAATGCTGGCACGTGTTGGCAACTTGGCAGTCAGAGCTGCCTGTATTAAAATCACATTGGAGAATTACGAGCTAAAAAGGCATCCTCATTATTATGTATGATGTTTACAATAAAGGGTCGTTTAGAGGAGAGTGTGAAAAAAGAAACAAAAATATTAGAAGCTTGTTTGAGTTACATTGATGATTCGTATGTGATGGAATTTAATAGCATGTACAGATACTCACGAATCTGAATTCTCCGACTCGGTTTCGCTCTCCTCGCTCCGCTGCGCCTTCCACTTCTTATACCTATCTATAAGATCCATTAGATACGAATTCTTCTTTGCCTTCCTTATAAACTGGAACTTTAATAATTCCTTAGCTGTTGGTCTCTGGAACAATTTAAAACATCGATTAGCCTACGAAACTTAATAAAAGTGCCACAACAAATGAAAGTTTGACAAACATTTTGATTATCTCAAACTAAGTTACGTTAGGATAGAAAATGTCTGAAGCAATATATTTAGTGCAATGAACTGCGCGTCCATATCTCTAAGATTAAGGGATCAGACCGTAATCCGAAACACTCGGGAGGGTTCTAACAAAAACACTATACGAAAGCCGACGGTCGGGGAAATTAATCCGTGTGTACTATGTTAACTTACATTTTCTGGGTCCTTATTCAGGCACGCCTCGACGAACTCTTTGAACGGTTTTGAGTAGCTGCCTGTCAGTTGCGGAGGGTTGTTCTTGGGAATGAGGAAGAGTACCCTCATGGGGTGTAGCTCTGAGTTGGGAGGCTCGCCTTTAGCCAGCTCTATGGCGGTGATGCCGAGGGACCAGATGTCAGCTTTGCTGTCGTAACACGACTGTTTGATCACCTCCGGCGCCATCCAGAACGGTGTGCCCACGAAAGTGTTGCGTTTACTTGTCGTGTTCGTTAACTGGCCCGCCACACCTGAAATCGTTTAAAAACTGATATTAATTTTAATTTCAATGAGGTATTAGTACTTTTGGGTTAGGTAGCTAGGTAGGTACTTTTGGTAGGTGAACAGGCCTTTTACACAAAAAAAACCTAACAAACAATTACAAGGAAAAAAGCTACTTTATTTGCAAATTCCCAATTCACCTTGCGTTTGAACAAAATGTGGGGAACTATGTAGGAATGAATGAACGTTGGTTTGTATAAGTTTATTTTGTAACACCAATAAATTAATCAGTGCGGCAAAATACGAGTAAAAAATCAGTACACAAACAAATCACGGAATGATTAATTTGTTTTGGTATATTTACGTTCGAATGAATGTACATTTCTAATTTGCTGTACCTGTCACGGATATTTATTGGTATGTGATTGTGTGCCATGTGCCAACAACGATAGAAGACTTGATTGCAAATATTTAAAAAAAAACAGTGAGCTCAAACTGATTCTTCTACGTTTCCAAATCCTTTGGTCAACATATTTTTGCATATTCACGTAAAAACATAAAAAGTTATGGGGTAGTATTAGCTAAATAGATAAAACATGTGGAAATAATAAGATGGGAACATATTATTTCCACAAGTCACATAAATCGGTAAAAACACGAAACTTTAGTTATGGAAATGGAGTCCGCTACAACCTTCCAAAACCTTTGCAACTGCAACTCCTGTAAGCCAGGTTCTACAGTATATAAAACCACGAGGACACCGAAACACTGAAGTCCGGCTCGACCCATGGACATGAATGACAGACATGGATCCAGCCATGCCACTTAAAAAATCTTAGCAATCACTATAGAACTATTACAATCCATGACATACATACGGAGAACAGAATGTTATGTACCTAAGTGTAAGCCGCACCTTATTCTATATTATGATGATAAAATAATCCGAATATGGAAGCTTATAATATGTGATATGAAAAATTGTATGTCACTAACAAATAATGACAAAAATAGCACAGCATCAAAGGATAATGTATGTATGAAATTTGGTAACAAATATCTGTGTATGTTGTTGTTGTATTTTGAAATCTAAATGTATCGTCTCAAAGTTTTCTTCTTGTTGCACCTACCATACTCTTTTGCATCACCCTAAGGTTGGCTGGTAAGAATGCTTATGGCATTAAGGCCGTCTATGTAATTTTATGTAGCAAAAATATTAAATAAATATAAATAAATAAAAATAATTATGTATTTAGTGCGTTAAAATAAAAATTTAAACAGACTGTGTTTTAATATTTCTTGGTTCTTTATTTTACATCATCTGTGGTCACATTCACCCTCGGGTCGTAAAACGGTCACATTAACCGTTTAGGACAAAATGTCAGGTACACGTGAACATTAAAATTGATAAATGAGACCTTCTATATGACGTAGCATTATCAATTGTTGGTCGTGCGTATGTCAAGGAAAACCACTTAATTAAGGTAAAGTTTTAAATACTAAATATTAATTTTCCCAAGAAAATGGAATTCATGCAACAACACAATCAATAAAATTAGTACTGTGCGGAATAACAACATTTTATCAAAATATAAATATTTTGCATATATTTTCTTTTTTGTAATTGATTGATTCGAATGATAAAATAGATTAGCTACAAAATGATATATACGTCGAATAGCCGACAGTAATTTCCCTTTTAAATTGAATTTTTTGCTGTGAATCTTTATCTAGCCTAAGATAAATATCATTAGATATTTATAGAAATACAGTTATTTTCACAAACTTTATATAAAATGCAACATATTTGTACTCAATAATAATAATAATAATACGGTCCTCTATAGCTGCTCATCGGTAGCTTTCGAAAGATCCGGCTCAGTCATGCGGACTTTTTTGTGATTCATACAACATATTTGTTTCTTTTTAGAGTAAAAGAACAAAAACTGCTTATTATTGTTGCCATGCTACAGCATCGGTGTAAATTAATATAAAATATGAGAAGCATAAGTATTGACAGGTAATAATTATTAATAGTTAAAATATTCTATGTTAGCAACTTCGATACCTATATAGCAAGGACCTTGGTATATATCGAAGTTGTCTGCGTGTGGATTAGTCGGTCAAATTGTGCCAATGCACAGATTGGTACTATAAGCATATCGATAAAGCTGTTCTCTGACCATAAAACTCGTCAATATGACGTGTCGAACGAATTCCTAAACATAAACCGAAAGGTTAAAGCTTTGAGTGGCTATAAACATAAAGTGTTAAAATTCAGCGCCACTTGACTGTTAACCTACTTTGAAAACACTCAAAGACATTATTCCATGTGTCAAAGATCACTACAAAACACTAGAACTGGAAACGGATTATTTCTTTCGAATTCTACACGTGTTGTACGAACAAACAGAGCCAGATCCAGTAAACGTGGATGTTTGAAGAGCCAGAAAATCTTCACGCCTCTCTCCCGAAGCAAAAGGGCGTTCACTTTACTTTGGCACGGCTAACAGTTGCCCCGCAAACGGTTCAAACATTGGCCTCAAGCCAGAATTCATGGCCATAATGCGCGCTTAACTTATAATGCAAGCTCACATATTGTAGTGCTGACATGTTTTTTAAAACTTACAATACACAATGCATTCGTAAGCGTTTATAATACACGGATATTTTTCCCAGAAAAACGGGTTGCTCATAATATTATCTTGTAGACGTGGTTAGTTGACGCCAAAATTAATTTATCCTCGGCCGTGTTATCTTGATTTAATTCCCGAAAGATATCATCTCGACCTGGCCAAAACCACGGAGTAAGAACAAAGAGGAGATGTTATAACTAGATTTCCCTAAGAAACACCGCGTGATATTTTGCGGGGTGAGGGGTTATTAGACTCCGCCCACTTTTTTATTTGCCATCTGCCGGTCTATAGCAAAACTACTTGCTCGTTCAAATTAATTATTTTTGTAGTTATGTAACTATTTCGCAATAGATGTCACTAAATACATAATGCATCAGGGTCGTACTCAGAATTACCGGAGTGTTGTAGTTTTTAATACTATATAATATTATTGGTGAATGAGGATCATTATACATTCATCAAAGCCATTTTGTTGTAACATCTTTTTCTTTTATAAGGGGAGAAACTCATATACTATGGCTACCAACAGGCTGATGCTTTACTGATAGCTGGCTATTTGCACGGATTTCGTACATTATATTATTATTTTTTATATTGTCTGGACTTGAAAAGAGGCGGACTTCTGAGTTTGTTTCGGTATTTTCTCAGAGTAGTCAGATAGGAAATGCCGGCTTCGTCTAGTTTTTTACAAATAATACGGTAAATGGCCTATTTGTAAAAAATAAATTCATTGTTTCATTGTGATGACGAGTGTGTTGACTATATTAATGTGTAATTTGGAAATATGCGTTTAGACTGGTGCGATCTTCAAACATACCGATTCAGGGATGCGTCGACGAAATAAAATACTTCAAGTTTATCTTCATAGGTCTTGAATGAACAAGGCCACTGACTACTTTATAACTATTAACGGTACGTGCTTCGCTACGTATTAAAATATTAAGTTCATTTATTAAAACAAAAAAAAAAAAAAAAAAAATGAGCCAAATGATAGTATATTGTTTATGTTAGTTGAATACGCGTAATTATTAATGTTCAGTGTCAATTTTCGTACATATTTCCAAAGAACTAATGACTTCAAACAGGTTTCCATCAGCAGGAGTTGATCGAGGAATGACAAGCAATGTTTGGGCACCACCAAAAAGCAGTCGAGTACCGCGTAAATTTTACATTATCTGATTAATTGCCTCTATTGATTTTTTGTCGCGATTGTGCACTCAAACCATAAAATAATTGACGTTAGCTGCAGAACTTTTGGAGTTTCGATCACCTGTACATTTAATGGCAATGTTAATGCAGATTGTACGGTCCTACCACCTTCTAATAATGTAGCAGCAATTGTCTTAATATTGCCACTTGATTTGCATCATGCGTTCGCCGGCCTATGTTTGGTCCCCTTGCTCGGAATTTTACCTTCACTCAACAACACAACAATATTTTGGAAAATATAAAAACAAAACAATAACTCAACAATATTTTGGAACAATAATGTCTTTATGTTTGTTTTACTACTTGACAATAGATGGCTGGCTATTTGTAAAATGATATAAACGTTACAAAAATAATATTTTGGCGATTGAAGGATCTTTAGGAGTGTATGTCGAGCAAATTACTGTACAAACAATCATTAAAATATATTAATACTGAACTATGCGTACCTATAAAAATTTAGTTCCTATGATACAAAGTGTCGCCATCTAGTGTCGCGTAGATTGATAATTGGAAACGCTGACAATAAGAGACATTGCTAGAACTATTTTAATAAATTTCGAATAAAATAAGGTCCACATGAGAAGTGATGCCATCAATAGTACCGTAACGTTTATCATAGTAGTTTTTATAAGATAGAATACAAAACTTCATTTTGTTTTCTTCTGTCACGAGTAAAATGAATACTTTATCGGAGTTGTGCACAGTATGAACGACCACATTACACTGACGTAAGCCACGCCCACCTTGATGACGTGAGGGCCGACTTGTGTCACAGGGCCGAGTTGTTTAGGCCGTCTCCTCTTTGTTCTTACTCCGTGGCCAAAACTTATTTTCGCCCTTCCTTATAATATTTCCCTAGATGACACTCCAGTAACTTATTAAAAGATTTAGGCCTTGATAAATATCTTCGCTGCTCCCAAAATTTCTTATAATCTGCTTCTATAGATGCGGTTAATTACGTAAGGCTAAGACAGCTAGATTTATTAACATACAAACTCGACGCGCTAAATTATACCTATTAAATGCAGACGGTGCCATTAAGGGGCAAGCAATGATATTTATTGATTACAACAACCATTTATATTTTAATCGTTGAACTAAGTAAGTAGGTCACACGAGTTTACGACACCATTCATCAACAACACAATCTTCGGCGTTGATTAAATTATCGTCAATTATGTATAGTCAGACAGTGTTAGCTGTTGTAAACTCTTCCCTTGTGTGTCGTAAAAGTTGACACCATTGCTACGAGAGGAAAGAGAACAGCATCTAACTACATTCATATAGTACGCTGTCACTATACAACAAAGAAATCAATATCATTAAATGATCATTTATAACAATTAATGATGGAACGTGCAGAAACACAACTCTCCATACAATTGCTCCAAATTCTTCATTGACGATATATTTCTAAGATAAGCATCCACTGTGAATGGTTTTCGTGTTCAAACTGCATGCATGGTTCGTTTTATGTGCGCAGGAGTAGTCGTCCACCCGTTACGATTTAGTTCGAAACTCTGTATGTATCACTACTGCTTAGCGTTCTGAATCAAATTAATGGGAGGAAAAACCTTGACAGATGTGCAAGAGCGGAGCTAAAGAAAGTTGATATTTATGCATGGGCATTTACATGTTAATGGCCTCGCACTGGTGTATAAGAATGTGCTCTTAATACTGCTACAAATGATAATCTTGAGTATACAGTGATGTAATCAGTCGCACTTGACACTTAACGGTTGATGGCTTGTCACGGCTACAATTATGTTAATTATATTAGAGCATTCATGGCATTAATGTCACCCCCAGATTACTGTCACGAGGGGCTTACAACGATGCATGTTAATATGAACCACATGCCATTGATTTATAATTTTACTTAAGATGATGATTCAAGTGTTTATGACAAATTGTTTTCAAAAGAAATTATGTCATCCAAAGACATTTTCTATCTCGTACAGACAAGACAGCAAAAAATGTTAACGTCAAAACGTCTTACTTGAACTCTTATACAGACATTTAGTGGTAGAAAAACCGTCCACAAAGAGTTCTTATGAAAAGCTCAACTTTTATAGAACTTTCATATCCTTATGAATACTGGCATCAAAATCTATTCTTTATTCAATAAAGACGTTATTCTGAAATCAGTTCGTATTTTTCATCTTCCTTTGAGAATATTTCCCGGTCGGGGACGACTTATCGTTAGGCAAAAGGCGGTCAAGGATGGAAATAAAAAGTGCAAGAGGCGCCGTTCCTTATCTGCAAAATTGTTACCCTTTCAAATACTGGCGAAGCAGCAGAAGCCCAAAACCATTTCGGGACCCTTATTATAAATTGAATGTGTTTCTGTGCGATTTGTTATGATGCAGGGAAAAATTATATTAATAATTTACTTGATTTTTCTAGTTAGTTAAAAATCGTGAGCTTGTCTATTCCTCATTGGCACCAGATACTAAATTATTGTATCTACTGGAACTTTGTATAAATAAGACAACTTACCAAAATCAGCCAGCTTGACGTCGCCCATTTCACTAAGCAGTACGTTAGCAGCCTTTATATCTCTGTGCAGCTTCCTTTCGGAGTGCAGGTAATCAAGGCCCCGCAACACCTCCCGGAGGATCACCGCTATGTGCATCTCCTCGAAGCTGCCAGCCTTCATAAGGTCCAGCGCCGACCCTCCGCCCAAATATTCCATTATAATCCATAGTTTTGTTCCCTGAGAACAAGAAATAAGGACGGTTAATCACATGTTAAGTAAGTATTGGTAATATAAGTCTTTAGTTACCATTGGTAATGAAATTCTTCAAACAGTGACTCTAAAAGTGAGGATTCTCTTGAATATACCTTAAAATTACTAAGAAATACACATAAGAACAAGAAAATTGTTTCAATCAATGCAGTGGGTGACTTGTAATACGTTGTTTACTTAAAAGTTTCCTTTAAGTGCCCATTTGAACATTTATGATTAATATTTCCAGGATATATCACCTTGACTTTACGGCCTTTGAAATAAAATTGCATTTGCAATTATTTCAACTTTATCAAGATATTTAAGATAACAAAAAACGTTTACAGTTTGCACCCGTAAATACCAGGATAACTTTTGAAATACTTTTATTGGCAATTTCAATAATAGCTTTCGCAATAAATAGAGATATTTTGGTATCCAGTTTATCTATTTCGTAGGTAATATTTAAATCTGGCTATCAGACAGATTTATTCTATCCTTTAAGCAAACTGTTAAATCCTCATTAATAAACATTATTCAGTTCGGAAAATGTATTAGCATATTTGAGCATATAGGTATCTACTACGTGGGCTGTTGTTACCCAAGTAGACTATGTATTCATATGCGTCATAATTATTATATTTAGTTGAGTAACTTCTTCAGTTATGTAGTTTGTAGTGTTTGTAGTTGTTTTTCCCCCAAGTTATAAGCACCTTATCTCTCTAGCACGACCATGAATGATACCGTCCGAATAATGATAAGTACATTATACATACATAGGCTTAGGTGTGTTCTTAAATTGAAGATTCCCATACAAAGACACATCTAATCTTCTAAAAAATACCAGTCAACATTTTTATTTACCTATTTGCGATGAGCTAAAATGTTACAAGGTGTAAATTCACTAAAGAAAAGTGAAAGAGCAAAGAGGTTTCGGATATTTAATATGAAAAATGGAAAAGTACTCGCATAAATATTTTATGTACATTTTGATAGCAGACTGTTTTTCCTCTCTTTTCTTTGACGGTATATTAACAGAGTAGAGCTGTCGAAAATTTACATAATACTCCATTTCTCCCAGTTAGCTATGTCTTACCCGCCGAGATAAACACCGCTTATAAATGTTTGTTTTCATTGTCATATTGTTTTGAATAGACTTTTCTCTACAACAGTTTCTTCTACGTAAACAAGGTGCTCACAAAAATAACATTGGGAATTCCAAACTTGAAATTGAAATTATTTATAATCTCCTAAATACACTCTCAAAGTCGTTTTATAATGGGAATGAGAATCAAAACCAATTAAATAATAATATTATGTCTTAAACTAAAATTCGTATCAACGAACAGCGAAAAGGAATGTACATCATCTGAATAATATTTATTATTTATAAATAAGAGTTTTAATTCCTACGAAACATTTTAAAAGGACAAAATTTAATTTATTGCCAAAGTTTTAAGGCAGAGGAAACAACTTGTTTAGGGGGCACTGTCATAATTTATGATACACCTATTTGTATTTATTTTGACATTTATTAATGAAAGATGGCAGACACGTCACAAGTTTTGTAAGTAGCTACCTATTTGTTTATCTTGTTTGTTTTGATAGCCTAAATATCATGAAGGCAAAAGTATTTACTGTATAACACTTTCTGAACATTTGCACCTATTTAATCCATTAAAGATATAGTAAAAATGCAAAAAATGTGATTCTATGCCATTGTGTGATAACATTAATCCTGATAAGCCGGCTTTATTGATTTATTAAATACCACAACGTGTTAACATTATAAAATACTATTGAGAAACCTAAACACTGGAGGTGGTTTCATATTATCAGCTCATTTGTATGTTGAATTTTCCTTACAAAGCCCCAAAAAGCAGCTAAGTAACGAGTTTCCTTAAATTAATCAACTTTGTTGTTACGTGTAGGTGATAACAGTTAAGGAGCAAATTTCGCAGGCTGTAGGTAAGGTGAAAACCCGCTTACTCATTCATCGCATTATGAAGGTAAGGTAGGTACCCAAAATTTATAGGATCCCTAAACTGGAAAGGGAAAAATTTGCATAAATTTTGTGGATAACCCATGCGATATCAGGATATGAGTCAGCTTAAGTTAAACTTCCAGAATGTTCCCTGATATCAAACTGTGCGGCTGTTAAAGGATTTTTACGACGACACAAACTGCTACACTAAAGTTTTACAACAAATACCAACTGAGTTTTTTTCCTCTGAACACTTCCTACATTGAACGGCGGCCGCCTATTTATTAAATCCATGTTTAGGCTTTAGACCGAATAACATTTTAATACACAAAGGCATTTATGCAGTAGGTACAGAAATTATGACCGTACAATTTTATGGCCCATCACATACGAATTCAACACCATTAAAATCATATCCTGTTCGATCTGACGTTGGATCTGAGTTGGAAATAATTTATGTGCGGATGGTGCACATGTAGTTGTGTTACTGTATGTACAAACAGACAGTAGATAGCATTACAGTGTATGAACGGTATGTAGGTACTATATGCAGTAATGCAACGCGGAAGACGACAATGGGCTCACCGGAGCACGGATCCGGCGCGACCCATTCACGCTCCATCAGCTAACGTACCCACATACACGTGTCAGGGTTACACTCATCTATGCACGTACAACGAACATGTAAATGTATCGGGGCATGGGCACACAAAAACAAACAACAGCTAAACCCCAGAATAAATAATATAGATTTGTTTTGACGGCACAAAGCCGCGAAATAAATGGAAAAGGCTAGTCTGCGATGATGTAGGATTGGAATATGAGAAATTCAATCTAACAAACTGTTATTTATTTTGGCGTTTCGTTTTTATAATATTATTCTGATAATGTTTAGAATAAAGAATCAACGTTCGCAATTTCGTAGAAATTCTGCATGTTTAATGGTATAACCCATTTTATTACAGATCAAAAGAATGCTGAATTGCTGGAGCGTATTTTTCTTCAGTGTACATCTACATGTAGCATGAAAGCAAACAACTATAAAGACATAATTTCGACAAAACATCAAACAACAGGGGTAAAAAAAAGAAAAAGCAGACATTCCCAGAGCAGGTAAACAAACGGAAATACAGCATACACACAATACCTCGTAATTTATTATTGAGTTTTTCAAATCAAGGATGGGAAACGGAAACGCTGAAGTTGTCAGTCCCTTTTTTCACAACTTTTGGGATTTCGAAGTTCATTTTTTGGGCAACCCTAACAATATTCGCAACATATCGGAAGCTATAACTGGTAACAAGCGATAATACGGACACACAATCCTAATATAATACAAGATGAACGCAACTTACATTTGAAATGGAAAGATAAATATTCCATTCCGAGTTATTTGTGCCTTAGCCGTAGATCCGGAGTATATTGCTGGGAATAATATTATGTAAAACGAGAGCTCACTGTGCCAACAATAACAACTGGATAAAGATGGAACTATAAGCTATTGATTACATTACTCCAGCATTCTAGCATATCTAAGTAGGGTCTATGTAATATTAAAAAAGTCCATTTAATGTATTTAATTCGACTTTAAACATTTCTACTCGCATTTTTATGAATATTAATTATGTATTATCAACAGTTTTAAACTGCGCTATTTATGAGTCAGTAGGGTTACGGCTTCCTATTACGATAACAAATGTTATCAATCAGAATATCATGATAAGCAATCATGAAATGAGTAAATTAATAATACTTTTACTACGTCAGTAACCATCTTATACATCACAAGTTTAACGTTACCGCTTAGATGAAAGGATTTAAGTAAGGGAGAAAAAAAACTTGAAAAGGGTGTTTTCATAATAAGCTTTTTCATAGCAGTAACCAAAGGTTGGTTGCATGTAGCCATCATATAGGTATTCGTTGGCATAGCAACCCAATGGCGTCGGTCATAGACCTCGGCGTCGCGACATACACTAAAGTAAAACAAGAAAGCGAACTATTAATCCTAGGGAACTTTATGTAGGGGTAGTAAAAGGGGTTTCAAGAGAAGAGACAGGTCATAAGCATATACTGTTTTTATAAACAGTAAAATTTACCAAAGTCCAATAAAACAATGCAAGGCCCAAACCACATTGTTATGTGTTAATTTAATTCGCGGTTAATAAAAAGTAAATCAACTATAAAATTGCGCTGTTTTAAAATTGAAAAAAGGTTTAATCAAAAGACCTGTTAATGCAGGGATTATTTATACCTTTCAATAAGTAATTAAGAAGCAACATGAAAGGCTTCGCGATCAGTATTTTTACTTTCTCGTCAGGTTTTAACAAAGAGGGATTAATACGTTTAATTATAAAAGTTAACCAGACTTCAAAGTTGTTAATTTATTACAACTTCATTCATAACGATGTTGCTTTATTTTAGAGTTGAGTGAACTTGCAATATTTTAATTAGTTACAAACACGTTTGCTTTAAAAGAGATTTAATTATTTATTTTGTAGGCGAGCTGAAAATTATGAAGCCTTTGACGAAGAAAAATGCAAAATAAAACCCGCACGCGATTTCATGTGGAATAAAAGTAAAACTATAGTCAAAGGTACGAGTATACAATTTTTTACTGTACGCTATAGAATTTAATAACGAACGTTTTAAATATTCGTTGTTCCAAGTTTGCCATGGGAATGTTGTGCCGAAATAATTTATTAGAATTGTCTTTATTCACATTAAAAAGAAGGGTAAATGGTTTGACTACTTGAAAGTAAAGGAACTTAAAATAATAGGTATTAAGCGAAGCGAAATAAGGTAACTACGGTATGGCATTACCAAGAATTACCGGCGATAGAACTTTCGTTATTTAAAAACATAAGTAAGAAATAAATACGTCATAGAGTAAAAAGAAAACTATTCATTTCTTGAAAATAAGCTTGACATCAACGTGTAGCAATAAATTAACACCCCCTATTACAGGTAACTCTCCAATGGTATAAGAGTCCATTCACAACAGATT